TTTTTGCCGGCACACAACATGCAAAACGTGGAAGAAATAAAAAGATCTTTGCTTCGCAATCAAAAGAAATTGCTTCGCAGAATATCATAATTATCACATCATTTTGTATAGTAATATAGTAATATAGTAATAATTTAAGTAATATATTTTGTATTATTTTAGTTAACATTTTGTTATATAATAAACCAGTAAATAAAAGACATTGCATGATAAGCCTAACCATAATTTGTGTTACCTTTAATAGTTCATTGGGAAAAATATTTTCCATAAAATTCCAAGAAAACTACGCATTGTTATGTAGTTTTCTTATGATGTTTATTTATTTTACGGCTAAAAACAAACTAAATTAAACAATTACATACTAATATTTACTCTTAGCAACTTTATGGTCCTGTAAGGGTTAAACCACGCGTTGTCATAATCTCGTCAATTTAAAAAATTTTAAACATTTGCAAAATCGAATGTTCAATCTCTGAACGAAATTACCCCCTCCAAAAGGAATCTCTTTATACAAACTCGGAATTTCGTGAAGCAATTTTGAAAAAACAGATGTTAACTGGAAGCGAATTTCTTCTTCCAACAATGCTAATAAATGAACAATAAAATAACGATATCCTTAGACTCTTCTGCAATATTTTATGCTCGATGTACAGTAATGTATCTCCAATTGACGCTCAGATTGTCCACAAAAATGGACAATTTTGGAAGAAGAGATACGATTTGTTCGAGCCTTGCGGCTCGTTTTTTATGGTTATCGATTTGTCAACAACTATAAAAACGAACTGCAAGGTTCGAATAATCGTATCTCCTCTTCTCAAATTGTCCATTTTTCTGCACAATCTGAGCGTCAATTAGGGAGACATTACCCTATTTTGCGTTCTATTCGAAGACTCTATCTTGAACGATTTAAAAAGACGGTTGTTCCTAAGAGCATCGGGCACCGTCATTTCTTAATGGTTCCCACAGCCAGTTAACACGTTCCGTGCCACGTGTACCATCGATGGTACACGCTTGCATGTTTACTTAGTGAACTGAACAAATTGTTTACAAGAAATTTAGAACCGAAGAATCAATTTCCACCGCAAGAATGGGCGTTGATAAGTTTTTGTTACGTTGTTATGTGTACGAGAATTAATAATTGCACGTAATACATCAAGTTTTAGTCAAATATCAAAGTGTGAAGATTCGAGTAAAAAAAGCTCGGCACGGAACGTGTTAACTAACAATATGGGCCGAGCCTGCGTCAAACAGAAGAAATATTGACTTCAATGGGAATTATCAGCTCCTATTATACAGTGCAGGATTGCGCAACAGTAAGCGGATCCCGCAATGAGGTAATACCGCGGCGACCGGCGAAGTGGGAGACACACAGTCGAAAACAAAGTAACGTGTTTTCGCACGCAGCGAGTTGTGTTGTCCCTTAATTAATTGCCCCGCCAAAGCGACCAGTTAACGAACTAATTAAAATGATTAATGGCCGTGCGAGTGCCGAAGCTTGCGCGACTCGAACGCTTCTGAATGATACGAGCTTCGCCCGAAGCTGGCAGACAATTAATTAATGAAAGTAATTCGCCGGGCAGAATTAATCGGTCGAATGAATTGGCCGGCGACCGTTGGCCGTTCTTGGAGCGTTGCTTCGGGCCTGACAACAAGGTCGGCCACCAAGGCCGAGCTCTGAAAACTTCCAAAGCGTAAACGTAAGCGCGAGCGTAAACAGGATATTCGTCGCGACTCGCGAGGAGGATCGATCGCGGCGTATCCACTTCGACGAAAACCCATCGGCGTCTATCTGCACAGAATCCAAAGTTCGGTTCGATCGAGAAAACTCGTTCCACGTGTGCCGAATATAGAGTCAATCTCTCCTTGTTTATTTGCGTTTCGAAGACATCCGGTTTTCAGTGTATTTTGACTATTTCCAGACCGCTCGGACAGCGGATTTTCGAGGAGCGCGCTCTGATCGGACGATAAACGGAAATCGGGCCAGCCAAAACACGTTTGTTGTTTCAATTAGCCGACGGCGCACGTTGTCCGAAATTTTATGATACACGTATACAATTGAATTAGATTTTAACTTAAGCAAAGATTTGCTTGTTATTCCGGCATCGATTAATTTCATGAATTCGCTTTCGCAGTAGAAAAATGCTACCGCTATTGCATCGTACAATATATAAATAAAAACACATTTACAATATAAATAAGAAACTGTGTAAAGTACAACGCGCGAGCTAAAATCTTCGATCGAAGGAAATCTTTATTTATTTTCTGTATGTTAGAATTAATGGAGAAAACTGTTGCTCGAAGATCGCAGTCAAAGCGTCGAACGAGAAACCCGCCGCTTAGCCGAATGAAGAAAGCGACAACGATTAGCGTAGACTATGCGGAACGTATTAAGTAACCGTACGGCAACGCGTAGGTATCGCGAAACGAGCAAAACGAGCCCGCGATCATTGTTGCGATCGGCGCGGCGGCCGCTCTGAACGTGAATGGGTTCCGGACGCTTTGCCGAACGTTCTAACGAGGCCGTGCAACGGAACAAAAGAAACAACGAATCCGGACCATATGGAAAATTCTGAGTCACGTAACACCGTTGGAAGTGGTGGGAGGATGACAGACTGTTTCCGCGTCGCGTCGACACGTTTTTAGAACCGCGATTCCGGCCGCGCGCCGGCACCGACGCCGACGCCGACACGTTCGGCCTGTTCGCGGATCGGAATCCTCTGTTTGCGCGGCGCAAATATCGGGCCGATGCTCGCGCTGCATCGACATGCACCAGTGCATCGCATCGCATCGGCGATGCGGTCGGTATATACGCCGCTTAGACGGGAACATCGACGCACCGACACGCTCCGCAAGAAATAATTGCGCCGGGAATCCTGTGTACGCGGCTACGTACAAGCTTTTGACTAGCGAATCAGAACCGGTCGCGTTCCCATTCTTTTTGTCCATTCTGCCGCGCACGAACCACCAGAACCATTTAATTCCACGGTCCACGAAACTGGAACAGGTGCACTAATTTAGGCACCGGCTGCAGCCACCGCGAGGAGCGGCCGCTTCGGTGACCGACAGGTTCCGCTTCGATAACGCGTCGATCCGAAAAAAGTTCCTAACTAGACTGGAGACCGTTAAAAAATTCCTTAGACGGGCCAAACGCTTAACGATACCTTCTAGAAATGCACTGTGTTAAGACTGAATTTTAAATTGCGTAATTTCTACCGTAGTGAAAGTCCTCGGCTTCTGTCGCGAAGAAAAGTTTCAGAAAATCATTCGATATTTCCATCGGAACGTCTATCAAACGTAGGTACATCACTGGTTCTGCATTCCAAATTAATCCTGCAATCCGACATCGTATTTACGTTTCTGCAAATCGAATTAACACGTCGAATGCCACGGGGGTCACCGGTGACCGGCACTTAACTTGGCGGTGACGCCATGGGGGCCACCGGTGACCGGCGCGCCCAAATCGATAGAAATATATATAATTTCAAACAAATGTCAATATCTAAAATTTGGTATTATTACCATCGTCGATTCAAACAGTGACCCCTGTCGCAATTAACATGTCAAACATGGTTATACACAGTAACTTATCTATTGCAGATAATATTTAAATTTAATACAAGTTCGTGAAAAGAATACAAATTTTATTAGAAACAGTTGATTTTCATTGATCTTCGATATTTACTTATAAAATTTTATAGAATATATGTAGAATTCTATATATATTTTATAGAATATATAGAATTTATATATATATATATTATTATTATTATATTATATTATATATTAAATTATATTATTATTATTATATATTATTATATATTATATAAATATTATTATATAAATATATATATAGAATTTTATTATAAGCAGTTACCAATAAATGAAGCAGTCCCGCAAAAGGATGAATTAAGATCTACGAAAGGATGAATTTCGAGTGCAAAGCCTGCAGTTAGGTGCAGAGATTTTTCTACAGAACGAAAGAATTCATTTGGTAAACATTCAAAATGTCGGACTCCAAAATTCTCTTGCCCTCCCTTCGAAATTGCCGGTACCTTAATGAACGAAGAATTACGTTTCGAATTAACGAGTTCCGAGAAAAAAGCAGGTAACAAATTCGACCGGGGTGTGGTGTCGAAAGCCGAAAGGGGAAAGTGAAATCTGGCCAACGTAACGAACTCGGGTGTCACTCGTGCCGGGTCTTAGTGCTCAGTCCCGTAGTCGGGGTCTCTAACAGATGGATCGCGCGCGCGCGCGCACGCGGTAGGCAAAGACAGAATTTCAAAGAAGAAAAGACGCGGAGAGATGAAGAAGGCGAAGACGAAGGCGAAGGCGAAGGCAACGCACGAAAGGTGGACCAGGCGGTCACGGGCCACGGATGAAACGTGTTTTGGAATCTTGCGCAGCGATCGTAGCGTCATGTTCAATTTGTTGTGCGTGCGCTCGGCCCGCTTGGATCGCGCCAACTGTTCCCGACCGAAGGATCGATCGCGTTCACGATCGATCAAACAATGCAAAGTACTGCACTGTTCGAAAAAAATTGTGTGTCGCACGAATCGCCTTAATGTGCGCCAACGTAACCAAAACTAGGCACTGACGTAACGACGCGATAATGTTTTCGGTCACTTTTGACTCGTTCTCGAATCGAATTTTGACTAATTAACACGTTCCGTGCCACGTGTACCATCGATGGTACACGCTTGCATGTTTACTTAGTGAACTGAACAAATTGTTTACAAGAAATTTAGAACCGAAGAATCAATTTCCACCGCAAGAATGGGCGTTGATAAGTTTTTGTTACGTTGTTATGTGTACGAGAATTAATAATTGCACGTAATACATCAAGTTTTAGTAAAATATCAAAGTGTGAAGATTCGAGTAAAAAAAGCTCGGCACGGAACGTGTTAATCGGCGGCAATTGTGTTCACAATCAGCGTACGCTGGAAAGAAGAATTTTTCGATCGAGACGAAACGTAATACGAGATGAATAATCGAGCACTTACGTTGACTTTGGCGAGGTACAGCTCCAGCTCCTTGTAAGGATCCATCTCCGGTTTACTCTCACTCAAAACTTTGCCACTCTCATCATCACTTTCCACTATTTTCAACTGATTCACTGTTTTCGAGGCGGCGATGCTCGGCACGACACTTCCTTTCGAGGCATCGACCTGCAGCCCACCGGTGTCTCGCATGGTCTCCATGCTCTGCCGTCACCTTGACCTTACGCGCATTTTCTTGTGCACCTGTAACAGAAGTAACGCACTACGTTCAGTGTGAGTCAGCAACCGGCGGCGATCAAACTAATGAAATAAGTATTCGAGAGGCGCCGACAACGACTCGCTAATTCCTTGACCCGTGACATCGCATTCTTTATCGACGTTGCATCAGTTTAACAGCAGAGTTTCAGCCGATTTTGCTTGGGTCGTGTCGCTGTTACTTCCATCCACAGTAATGTCTCCTTAACTGACGCTCGGATTGTGCATAAAAATGGACAATTTGGGAAGAGGAGATACGATTGTTCGATCCTTGATATAACCTTGACAATTCGTAACTATAAAAACGAACCGCAGCGATCGAATAATCGTATCTCCGCTTTCTAAATTCTCCATTTTTGTGGACATTTGTGTATTTTTTTTTTTATATTTTTCCTGTATTTCCGTTCCGCGAGCGGCTAGACGAAACAATTTCGATCGTGATTCAACTTCCCGACAAAATTACAACGAAATTATTACCATATCTATCGACACAAAAACGTTTCTATGGACTACTGCAGTTTTTTTTTTTGTAAAATGGACAACATGAAATCAAATATTAATATTGTGGAAGGCTAAATAATTTCCTAAATTGCTTGTTCGGAAATGAGGATAAGCACAGTATTTGAACTGTGCCTGGAATCGTTCGTTTCTGCGTGAATGCGTTGCAAATTGATGTAATTGTTAAAAATGTGGGACAATGTGTAGTCAACTTAAAATATGAAGTACATGAACGAGTGGAAATAGTTATTAAATAGGTTAGTTATTAAATACTTATTTAATAGTTATTAAATAGTTATTAAATAGTTATAAATAGTTATTAAATAGTTATTAAATAGTTATAAATAGTTATTAAATAGTTATTAAATAGTTATTAAATAGTTATAAATAGTTATTAAATAGTTATAAAATAGTTATTAAATAGTTATAAATAGTTATTAAATAGTTATTAAATAGTTATTAATAGTTATTAAATAGTTATAAAATAGTTATTAAATAGTTATAAATAGTTATTAAATAGTTATTAAATAGTTATAAATAGTTATTAAATAGTTATTAAATAGTTATTAAATAGTTATAAATAGTTATTAAATAGTTATAAAATAGTTATTAAATAGTTATAAATAGTTATTAAATAGTTATTAAATAGTTATTAATAGTTATTAAATAGTTATAAAATAGTTATTAAATAGTTATAAATAGTTATTAAATAGTTATTAAATAGTTATAAATAGTTATTAAATAGTTATTAAATAGTTATTAAATAGTTATAAATAGTTATTAAATAGTTATAAAATAGTTATTAAATAGTTATAAATAGTTATTAAATAGTTATTAAGTAGTTATTAAGAATTATTAAATAGTTATAAATAGTTATTAAATAGTTATTAAGAATTATTAAATAGTTATAAATAGTTATTAAATAGTTATAAATAGGAATTTGCGTGCAATTATTTTTTCGGAAGCGTACGAGGTAAATTGACATAGAGAACAGGCACGTGAAATGGCGGGGACAGTGTGAAATTGACGCGAAGGGCGGATCCGATCGAATTCATTTCAAACAAATTAGTAGTTCCAGTCGTACCAAATTAGTCGTTATCGTGCCCGAGAGATCGAAGCCACGAAGATTCTTAATCAACGCATGATTTATGTGTTTAGCAGATCGTAAAAGGCTGTCCCTCCTCGGCCGGTATTTGTTCTTGAAAAAGGGCCGTAATTAATACTATTATCGCGAGGATACAAATTAGCGTTTCGGACGACGAAGGACGAGAACAAAAGGAAAGCCGCGGGGATACCTACGGGCAAAGGGATTATAATTAGCCCTAGTGTGACTCACTATCCACATCTACATCCACGTCGCTGTGCCGCGCGTATAATCCCGGCTTGTCAAACACTTGAAAAGGGTAAAATGGCCACCTGCGCTGTTATGATTGCATTTCGCTAAATTTAGCAGAAACATTCGGCGTTAGTCACTGCGGCTAATTATATTTCGCAGATTAGTTCTCCCAGCGAACTGCGAGACCCGCGTCGCGCCGGTACTTCGGACCCATTTTCCCATCCTGATCGTTGCTTGACCACGCCTGGTCGCGTGTGATCGCGTGTGATCAAGCTTGATTAGGTTCAACCAAGCTTGAACGCGTTGAAACCGAATGTTATCGAATCGAAGTCGATTTTGTACGAATCGCGATTTCTTTCGTTCCTTTCAGAACGAGTCTAATCGAAAGCGATAGCGACGCACAGAGCAATTTCAGAAGTAAAATTCCAGAAGTAAAAGGATCTTGTTTGAATTTTCGTATAATCGTCCTTTCAACTCTTTCATTCAGCTTTTTTGGACGCCCACAACGGTGCTTATTAGCAGCGTTACCTTGCGTATTAAATTTCTTCGCGATATAATGAATAGTGGATTTGCTTCTGTTTAAATATTATTTCTCTTACCGATTTGCATGTTTCGGATTTCTTGCGATTCATTTTGTTGTATTATTAACCCGAGAAAGATAACCTACGTCGCAGAGGCGCCTGCGAAGACTGTTGATTTTTGTTAATTTTTCATAGAGTGATTTAAGTTTAAAATTACTTAAAATATAAAAAAATATAATATAAATGCATTTTATTTTTACAATAATGCCAAACCTTTAAAATGACTAGATTAACTTAAATAAATATCCATTGTTAGTATAAAATTGACGCCTTAGAAAAGCATGCGCCTCTGAAGCGTATGGTTATCTTTTACGTACGTTGTCATATGGTTATCTTTCTAGGGTTAATAATGAAAACTGCGACAGAAATTTTGAACACTGATTCCCTTGGACTAACTGCTAGTGAACTGAGCAATGTTTGTTTACATTCTGCGATCTTTTCGGAAATTCTTAATTGTCAGAGTCGAATACTTTTGTGAGCCATTTCTAGTACGTGTATACAATAAATGTACTGTAAAAACGCTACATATCGTTGAATTATTTTCTAATTTTGCTCACGCAGTCTTAAGACCCATCTCTTGTTATATGTGTCATATTATATCAAATGCTCGAGTTTAACACATATATTTTATTAATTGAATGTTAGAAACGTGAGCGTTCGAACACTTTCGTGTATGAGTGTATGTCGTAAATAATCAATGTAAACTAAACAGTGATATGAAGGTAGAAAGTTCGAGGACCTCGATGTCAGTCGTGAGCGAGCGAAATATTTCTAGAACGAGCGGCGACCGTTGAAAATAAAGTTTCGTAACCGCGTTAAATTGACCCGTGCAGTGCACAAGGGTTAACCCGAGCGGCATTGTCCCCCCGTGAAATGTCTTTCTTCGTGGTTTATCGGTTTCTTCGTGGTAGCGCTCGCATGAGAACGCTCCTCCGTGAATGGGACAACGTTTTCTCAAGTTCTGCGACTATTTCAAAGTTCAGCGGGCCAACAGGTTTCTATCATAGTAGCTGGATCACGATCTGGGCGATCTACCGCGAGATCGTGTATCGATTGTGCCGAGTCAAGTGGGATACTTATAGGACATGATACGATTGCCGTTTCATTCAGCGGGCTCGCCAACAATAAAGTCATGCATGAGAACACGAGCTGGTCTCGCGAGGCGCAGACATAATATTAGAAAATCGCCGGATGTCTGATCGCGGTAACCTGTTGCCGTTGAATGAGTCAGGTGATTTCACAGGTGAACGATGATGCTCGATAGAACGGCGATTTTCAGGCGGTTTTGCCAGCAGCCGGCCAACCAAGCGGTTCGAACGATTCGAATGATTCGCGTCGTTCGTAATCGTGGAAAACGCTCGACGGAATGTTTATTCGGCGTCCGCGAAAATTAACACTATGCCGTCCGGTGGCACCACGCTGGTGCCATGCAAAAACTATCTGTTGTACGCCGGTGGTACCACTTTGGTGCCATTTTCAAAAACTGAAATAACATTTGAACTATATTTCTTGGGTGTTAAAAGGCGGCAAACTAACTGTGCTTATTTAACTAAGAATTAAGTACGAAAATTCTTGGATGACATATCTTTATTTTAGGAATTTATATTATCGCCATCTTCGAAATTTCTTTTTTAACCCTTTGCACTCGAATGGCGACTCTGCGGCGCCACTAGAAATTGGTATACTATTTTTCAAAATCATTCTGAGAGCATCAGACTCGTTTATATATTTAAAAAACTATTAAAATTGCATTGCACTTGCTGCAATAGGCTCAATTTCATATGCATAAATCGCAATAAATTATATAAAATAGAAATACTGTAGATCAGAAATCATGTTTTGGATTTCGAATTCAAACAGCTTCGACTGCAAAGGGTTAAATCTAACATTTCGAAGTTATTTTGCCGGCGTCGAATAAAAGAATCATATCTAAGATCTGCGGACGGCATAGTGTTAACGATTAGGCTTCGAATCATTGTGCAAGACGAAAATGTTGCTCATCGCCCGCCAAGATGCGGCAGCTGCATACAATTTTCGTTCTTTCGTTCATCGTTCGAATAATTCGAAAGAAAACCGTATCGATATTTATTGAATTCATTTGATCTTCGCACTGTTTGAAATTGAACATGTTCAACTTTGTCGGAATTGCATGAACGGCTATATTTTTCGCATCGTGTTACACGTCGCGTTACACGTATTTATAAAATTGCGGGTAGAGTTAATAAAGATACAACGAGTCGACGAAGTTGTTCCTGCTGGCCGCGTGGTTCTTAAAGGTGAACGTAGGAAGTAAATGAAACTGTAAAGTTATTCGTATCGGACATTTCCACCGACTTGATAAATGTATCGCTGTACTTCGCCGCCGTACCGTGAAATTAATTGATCGACTTTTTAAATCGGATCTCGCCGGTCCGAACGGTGATAATAATGATAAAAATAATAATAATAATAATGATAATAATAACACGGTTAGAAAGTAGTAATCCGTAAAGACAAAATGTCGGCCGACGCAGCGCGGACGATGAAGCCCGATAGTGTCTTGACAATTGAGACATTGAAAAACGGAAAATCCG